TTTTTTTTATTGGTCTTTTGAAGTATTCTAATTTGTTGAGATAGTGAATTGGTGGGTTTTTGTTAAATGTGAGCCAAAATCATCACAATTAAAAGAACCAAAGACTTAAACTACTTTAGTCTGTGTGCATTGAATTTATTTAATACACGAGTTTCACAATTTGAGTTGAATTACTGAAATAAATGAACTTTTCCACAACATTCTAATTTATTGAGATGCACCTGTAAGATTTTCTGTGAATGTGTGAGACTTCAGATAAATTTGCCGCTGTAGGTAAATAACTAGAAGAATAACAAATGGTAAAACTATATGCGCTACAAACCAGCACATTCATTATAAGAAATAAGTTTGCAATATAAAGCAGCATAACGGCTGTTTTTGTACAGCTGAAATAACTGGAATCCTCACACATTTAAGTTACACATTTTTATATGTTATAAAAAAGGTGGATAATAAAAAGTATTTTTATTTTAATTATTGTTCATATATGTGGCATTGGGTTTAGGATTTGTGAAGATTATACCATGAATAAATATGGTATTTTTTCCATAGGGCTGCTGACATTTCCAGATGGTTCCCATGGTGCTCCGCGAAATGAGGGAGTGTTTGAGAACAACAAGCTTCTGAAACGTGAAAAGTGTCAGGCTGTGGTGCAGAGAGCCAAGAACTCAGCATCCACTGCCCGCGGCCTCTGTATGACAAACTGACCTCAGTGAGAGCACCCCTAACTGCGGCTTTCAGATCAGGCAGTGTCACAAGTTAAGAAGTCAAAGCGGACTGTGGATCTGCATTCAGGGGTGATCTCTGCCTTCACCAAACAACGGAGCTCAAAAATATGAGAGACCCATCAGACCCTCAGGGATGGATGAAAGTGTTTCCATTCCACACACCTCTGTTTCTCTCACATTGTTGCTCTGCCTTGGTTTCCTCTGTGGCTTAAAAACATCACAAAATACTGTATGTTTGTTATGGAGGCATGGATAAACTCGAGTCACCATCGGAGGCATTGCAGGTACGGAAGCCTGGTCACGTGAAGATATTTTTGGTAACTATATGAAATTTGCCTTCGTGAGTCTGCGATTGTATCACTTACGTTTGACTGTATTGTTACTATTGTAACTGTCTGTTTGTTTGAATCAACATATTCTTTATTGCACATTTGCCTTAGTTATTGCATTAAAAGTCAATATTGCTGGATTAAAATCTTGTTACTGATATACAACAGCGGTGAGGGAATGTTTTCAGCAAGTTGTCTTAATTTGTTATTTATTTGTTAATTTCATTCATTTAAAATGAGTACATATAATTTACTAACACATTATAGGATATTATGACACTCTGTAGTTGTATTTTTCTTGTACATTACAGAAAACTGTTTGAAATTATTTAAAAAGTATTGGGTCATTGGGCAGATATACATTCACTTCAGATGTTTGATGACTGATTTATGTGTGTTTACTTTATTTTCCAAACTGACTGGTTCACTGTTCCCATCCTCCACAGTGTCAGACAGAAGCCTTAGTCACGATCATCTGATATATACTGACACCAAAAAGCATTTTGCACTGTTATTTATTTGAGCAGAGATTTAAAAGACTGACATGAAAAATAAAGTGAAATAAAAGTCAGAAAACACCACCAGATCTAAATTTGGTGCATCATTTTTTAATCATGCTTATTCTGTCATGATAACATTTTATGTTCTAATTTAGTGTATTTTAAAATGTAACTTATTTCTGTGAAAGCAAAGCTGAATTTTCAGCATCATTACTCTAGTCTTTAGTGTCACATGATCCTTCACAAATAATTCTAATATGTTGATTTGGTGCTTTAAAAACATTTCTTATCAATGCTGAAAACAGTTGTGCTGCTTAATATTTTTTCAGGAATCTTTGATAAATAGAAAGTTCTAAGGAACAACATTTATTTATAATTAAGATCTTATGTAACTGTTCATAAATGTATTTACTGTCACATCAGTTTAATGTATCAATGCTAAATAAAAGCAATCATTTCTTTCGAAAGAAAAAAAATCTCACTGGCCCCCGAGATTCAAATGAATTCCTTAATACATAACCATTTATATTTGAGCATATGTAGCCTGTTATTCCTCTCTCAAGAATCAGTTAACAGAATATTAACAGGGCACAGAGCACTTATCCAGCACTCCAACCGCTAAATGAAACCACTGCAGTGTGTGACTAAAAGCTTTCTAATCATAGAACAACTGAGTGCTTTAAACAAGTGATTCACAGGCACACTGTGTGATGTTTGTGACACACAGGGAAACCCTTCATGACAGCACGCCAAGTGATCAGTTTGGGAACTGGATGAGCCAGGCCATGGATTACATCTTTAATACAGCAGCAAAACACACCGAGTAACTACAAAGAGAAGAGCTGGATTGTTGATTCATAAACAACCTTATATTGGGGCAAATGTTTGCTTTCAGGCTGGCGGATTGTAATTATGTAATAAGCACAGATGACATATGTCTCACACATGGGCATATCAGTGTCCTCCACCCAAAGCCTTGTCATCTGATGCATCAGGAAACTATGCACAGCAATGAGCCTGTCCTGGCACAGTAAGCCATAGACAAAACTATAGCATGTTAATGTGTTTCAAATGAAAGATTTGTTATGCAAAAGTCAAATAGACTAAATATTGTGCATGCATTTCTCATTTCAGAAAGACAAACTAGTCAAAATGCTTTCTGCTGATTGGTCAGCCGAAGATCAAACCGTGCTGTCATCAGTTCTTCCACAGTATCACTCAGCAGAATAATAGTCCTCCGCTGCTGCAGTATTAATTAATTGACTGCTGCTTATTTCCGTTGCACTTCAATACTGGTCTGCGCTTGACTGTAGTCACGTCTGTCTGCTTATTGAGTTTATTTAACCCATCGCAATTTATTGAAACTGTGTGAACAGTGACTACTCACCTTAAAGGAGACATATTATGCCCCTTTTTACAATATGTAATATAAGTCTCTGGTGTCCCCAGAATGTGTCTGTGAAGTTTCAGCCCAAAATACTCCACAGATCATTTATTATATCATTTTGAAAATGCCTATTTTGAGTGGAAGCAGAAACACACTGTTTTTCGGGCCTGTCTCTTTAAATGCAAATGAGCTGCTGCTCCCCACCCCTTATTCCAGAATAGAGCTGCGCCATTACAGCTCAGACCTGCTAAAAAAGGATTTTGGTTCTGATTATCATGTTTATCGCTCTGAAATCATGCGTTTTAAACCATATGAGCATTCTGTTCTCTTTATTTTTCAAAGGCATGACATTTTGTAGTTTTGAACATAACGTTACACAAATAAAAATATACATTTTACCATACGACTATAAATGACAGAGTATTAAGTTATTTCCCCTCGATGGGGAAAAAATCCAAGTGAACATCAATCAGTACTCAATATTAATTGAGTATTAATTAATTGACTGCTGCTTCCAAAGGCAGAACAGTTAGCATGTTTTGCTCAAAATTTCGCCGTGGCATTAGAACTAGTACACAGTTGTCGCTTGCGAAAACACAATAACGGCGATGTGGGTGTAAACTTACAGATTAAGGGGCGGTAATATTATAATGAGATCCCTTTGCCACGTCACCAAGGGAGCGAAATCAGACGCGCTCGTTTTCTCAGATGCTTGCCGGAAAAGGCTTATCAAAACAAAGTTGCTGGGTTAATCTTTTTCACGTTTCCTTGGTTGGTAGATGCACCGGGGACCTGATTATAGCACTTAAAACCTGGAAAAGTCCGATTTTCATGATGTCACCTTTAATGTTGTTCTAAAGGCTTATTACTTAAGAACACAAAAAATGTCCTGCTCGCACTTGCCAATTTAATGGCAGAGAATGGTGACTTTAGGTTTTTTTGTTTGTTTGTTTTTTTGAAGCGGATGCATATCTGTTGTAAAATAATCCTATGCATCTTGTGGCGTAGGTCTATATTCCAAGCATTCTGAAGGTAGCCTATACTGAGGGTTTGGTAAGAAACAAACCGAAATGGCAAGTTATTATGAAAATCTTGCGTTGTAGTGCGCAGCAGCTCACGCCACGCACAAGTGCATATCCTTTTGAGATATCAATTATAATAAATTTTAATAAAACACAAGACTACATTATAAAACTCTAACAGTAGGCTATTTAATATCTGTTGTTCTCCGGTTGTCAGTCAGAATGACAGTTCTTGCGTGAACATTGTAGGCCTAAATATATACCCAAGCCAATTTATTATTCTTTACTTTTTGTCTTAGGGTTAAAATATTTATTTTGAAAATAATTCATTCATTAATTTCTTAATTAAACAAACAGACTTACTGGGTGAGCAGAGTAGGCTATGACAGCTGTCATATCATACCCTGCCATGCCCAGCTGATGCAAAGAATAGAATTTATATCTACACAGAAGAAAGCCCTGTCTAGACTCTGACCCAGTATGAGTTGTGTCGAGCTATTTATTGGTCTGTTTGTTTGATGAAAAAACATGAAATGTAGTTGCAATAAATGCGTTAAGAATCCGTACACCTGCAGCAGCTGAGGACTATTATTCTGCTGCATGGAACTGCGGAAGAACTGATGACGGCACGGTTTGATCTTCGGCTGACCAATCACCAGAAAGGGGCGTTTAATTCCCACGTGTAGAAATCGAATATTCAAGCTGTTTATTCATTTTTCTATCCCTGAAAGAAAAACGAAAATTTAAGCTGAATTCTTGTTTTTCGTTTTTTGGAAAAAAACAGAAAAAAAGCATTTTTTTCATTTTTCTACTTTCAATATTAAATTAAAAAACAAATGAACGAATGATACACTGATTCTCTTTTGCCTTGTCTCTGCTGTTACTGTTTGTTGTTTCTGGACCCTGCCTGTTTCGACCACACTCTCTTTTAATAAAGCTTGCAAATGTATCCCCACTCCGTTGTCACGCCTCCTTCGTTACAATACTGATCTGATCAATTTATTACTATGCTGCTATTTATATAGAAAAAATACACATTATAAGCCTCATTTTTATATAGATTAATAAAAGCTCATTCATCGAGTATACTAATGAATTGGTGAGGACAGGCACCTTTCAGCACTAATTAACACAAAAAGTAAATAGTTACTCAGACAGAGGTGGTATTGTTCTCCAGCCATGCACCTGTTCACAGATGCTCTAATGAATCCAATGCATCTCCATGTGTCTGTCAGGCCAGACCAACCTCTCTCATCTGTTCTAGTTTATCCAGTGTCTCCTTTGTGTCAAACTGCCATTGCTTCACCTGTTCTGTGGCTGTAATGCCCTCCTAAAAACAAGAAAATGAATTATTTATATCCAGCTGTTTCCAAATTTTTTATAATAGATGAATATTTTTTTCTCATCCTAATCTGTAGTACTTACAGCATTCTTGATCTGCATATCGGCTCCTGCCAGTATAAGGAGTTTAACAATTTTAATACCGATTTAATCTGACAGCATCATGCAGTGCCGTGTCTCCTTCCTTTAAAAAAAGGAAACCTTCTTAAATATTTTGATTGAATTATAATCTGCATGTTGAGTACAACTGTGTTTTCCTCATGAATTATTCATCTGTTACCCAATCTTTGGCATTAATATTGATTCCACTGGTTAGAAGATGTTGGACCACGTGACTGTGACCTGTCCGTGTGGCCACATGCAAAGGTGAGCTAAGCAGCTGTATGGGAGAGAATTATGAGATTTTCTAATACTACACATACAGCTTATTTTTATATACTTTTCAGTATTTTGCAGTACTTTGTCTCTGGCATTGATGCCAGCTCCCCTGTCCTGAAGAACTTTCAGTGCTGAGAGACTTCCACCTCTGCAAGCCCAATGTACAGCCCTGCAGTCCAGCTAAACCGAGGGCAACAAAAGCAAATCAGTACAATCACAACATAATTTCAACAATGAATTCACTTTACCAACACTTATATATTGATCTCACCCTGTCTTTAAAGTTGATATCAGCACCTTTGTCCAGTAATTTTTCCACTATTTTAGCATGATTTTCCAAAGCAGCCAGATGCAGCGCTGTTTTCTTGAACTAAGACAAAACAGTTGTATGAGCAACTGTGTCACAGAGGAAGAGAAATAGAGTTATTACAGTTAACTAAAACTAAAACCATAAAAAATGTGTTACTTGAAATTAATATTAACTCAAATATTTTTTTAATGTACTAAAATAACTCAAATTGAAAATAAATAAATAAATAAAAACTATAGACATTTTGAAAAAAAAAAAAGACAAAAACTAAAATTACCAAAGCCTTAACTAAATTTAAAATAAAAAACTAAATTAAAAAAACTATAATATATTGATACTAAAATATCATTGGATAGAACATGACACTGGACATATTGCACCTTATCACAGATGTTTGTATCTCCTCCATCTTCCAGAAATTTCTCAACTACTTCCATCTTTCCCTGAGCTGCTGCTTTTAAAAACTCATCCTGTTCCACAAGTCCCTGATAAACACCAGAGATTAATTTTGATGCTTAATCAAAAAATCAAAAAATACATAAATAAAATAACCATAAGACTTATAATATACTATAAGACTTATAATATATGCAATATTCAAAGTCACATAATGATAATAAAAAAAAGGCACATGGTTTTTTCTCACCACAGGAACATCCATTGGGTCTTTGGGAGCTGCGGTCTTGTTCCTGATCTTCTTCTTCATACGCAGCTCAATAATGTTCTCTGCACCCCCCAGATCAACGATCTCACGCCTCAGATCAGAGGAGATCTTTCTCACTTGATCCTCTGCCTGCATGAAGAATTCCCTTCTCTTCATCACTGACTGATTCAGTCTTTGTGCATATAGTACACGATGAAGACTTCTTACAATAAAATTGGTTCATCCTTTTTTTAATTGAAAGGATTGTGAAAACTGATATAAGATGCCAATTCTGATATTAGTCAGTAATATTACCAATACAGCATTCTGTGTATGCACGCAGGTGGAAGATTAACAAGCTCATACTCTTCATTTTTACAGCATGTACATTGCCCTATTTTTAATGCAAGTAACAAAATATTTTTAATAAATAAAGCCCATTTATAAGTAACATATAATTTAGTTATGACATGACTCTTTGCTACTGTAAGATGATTATAGGAATACTAAAAATAAAGGTTCTTTATTAGCATATGTTACCCTGGACCACAAAACCAGTCTTAAGTTGCATGGGTATATTTGTAGCAATAGCAAAAAATACATTGTATGGGTCAAAATTATTGATTTTTCTTTTATGCCAAAAATCATTAGGATATTAAGTAAAGATCATGTTCCATGAAGATATTTAGTAAATTTCCTACTGTAAATATATTAAAACTTCATTTTTGATTAGTAATATGCATTGCTAAG